TACATGCAGCAGAAATACTTAAAAAAATTGGTATATCTTCATCTATGTAGGCCCTATGAAACTGTTAACTTTTTGTTATATGAAAGACTCATGTTTAGATATTCCAGTGCTTAATACTTATTTTAAAAATATTCTTTTAGCTGAGGCAGTAATACAGAAATATATAATATTAAATACTGTTTGTCTGTCTCTCACTGGCATTTCTACCCCTAATCCTCTGCTAAAACTTCTATCAACCTTTTTAATGCCGCAACCCCCAACCGGTCGTAAACTGAGGACTACCCAACCGGTCGTAAGTCGAGTCGCCGCGCCTAGCCCCCTGTGCCGGCTGAGGCGTAGCTGGCAAGCGGCAGAGACGGCGCAGGCCAACCACCGGCTGGGCCACCAGCCGGCCCAGCCCAAGGGAGGTAAGGCACCCACCGGGCCCCACGCGCGCCAGCAACCCTCCCTGCGCCAGCCGGCCTCCCACCTCCCACCCCTGGCCCTCTTTTACTTACATTTTTAGTAGTTGCTCAGCAGGGAAGGGTGGAAAATTCCATACAGCTCTCCTTTGCTGCAGACAACTTGCAGCACCGTTTGTAGAATGGGACTTTTGGCGGGCTCAGCAGGGCAGAGACAGCCTGGACAATTCCTATTGGCTTTTGAAAACCAATAGAATTAGACACTATTCAAGAGAGTCTATTCTATTGGCTTTCAAAAGCCAATAGAATAAAAGGGAGTAGCACAGCTAAGGAAAAGGGGAAAAAATGGCAGACTGCGTTGTTTGGCAACCCCCGTAAAATGGTCGTTCGACCCCAAATGGGGTCCTGACCCACAGGTTGAGAACCACTGACCTAGAAGGTAAATGCCTCATAAGGTAATAGCATATTGGGATGTGTTTCAAATGAAGAAAAAGCATAGAGAACAGGGTTTGACATTCCCTACCTCAATATTGTTGCTGTGATGCCATATAGATCTTTGTAAATTGATTTATGCAAATAAAGCCATTATATGGTATTATACTAAAACTAGTATATAAATATAATAAATAAATTGGGAACTTAACTTCTTCTGGTTTCATTGGTAGATCCAGCTTTCTTATGAGCCTCAAAATATCTTCTAGGAGAAAATGATTTGATTTAGCGCCTGTAGAATGTAAACATGTCCATCATTAGAAGTGGCTTCTTCTGGTTTCATTGGTAGTGCCAAATATTTTACATGTGGTATAGTCTCGTTATTGCTCTCTACATGTTTTTGGGACAGTTTCTTTTAAATCATACTAGCTAGGATATATAATTATTCCAGTTTTTAGTTTTCCGCCTGTGGCAGTAGTCTGGCCAGCTTTATGTGATTTCAGAAGCTAAACTGGTTTGAGCTAGTTCGTACTTGAATAAACAACTCTAGGAAAGACTCAAAATATGGAAATCATAATAACAAAGTACTTCTATATATTATGCCAAGAAAACTGTATGAATGTCACCAAATAGTTACCTGCAATAGAACTCAAGATAATTTTAATCTACAACAGAAGAGGCAGCTAACTTTGTTGATCTTGAAAAGCTAAGAAAGATTTGATCTGGCTAGTACATAAAGGAAAAGTACCAAGAAAAGCCCATTTAGTGGGCTAGATTGAAAAGATTTTTTTGAAAAATGAAAGGGCCATTTTAGTCATTACTGTATTGTTTAAAAAAAGATATTACATTAATGCTAAGCGGCCTACCCTTGCATTAGATCAAAGCAAGAGATTTTTGAAAGTATTTTTTTTTCCTAAAGAAAAGGTTTCCTGTCTTATTGAACAATTAGAATGATTGGGAATCTGGAAAAAAGACATTTAGGAGGAATGGTTGAAGGCAATATTTAGCCTGGAGAAGAGAAGATTGCATGTACCATATTGAAAATGGTACAAAATTGCTCCAATTTTTCTAGAAGTTGGTACAAGAAATAGGTGAAATTATATAGTAGATTATGGTTAATTCTAAGGAAAAATATAAATCTAATTGCTACTCAACAATAGAAAAGATTTCATCACGATGTGAGGGCTCTCCTTGACTGGAGTTCTTGAACTGATCTAAATCAGGTCCCTAACCCCCGGTACCAGGCCACGGCATGCCAGCAACCAGTCTGCACAAACAAGCAAAGCCCTATCTGTGGGATGCAGGCAGCACACAAAACCACGCCCCTCTGGTCCGCAGAAAAACCTCTCTCCATGTTAAAAATGTGCAATATTTTACACTATTTCCTTTATGGAATTTAAATTTCATGAGTTCCAATTATAATAAACATCAATTGTTTTAAGTAGGCAAAAAATCTGTATGGGTGTGATTGCCATGGCAGCATGGAATTTAAGCCTGTGTAGTATAATAATATGGCAGAATCTTAGGAATCTTGCTTTTTATGAAAAAAATCTGCTTATTGAGATACAGTGTTTCAACAAGTTCAACTCTAATTTAAACATTCTATTAAATTACATAAAATACTTGGCACAGCTTGTATATGTTAATATATCTTCCTACATATAATCTTTTTGACAGTTATATAATTGTTCAAACAGCAATATTTAAAAGGCAAGATAATTTCAGTTGCCCTGTTAATTCAGAACACAGCATTAGAATGCTTGTATGTGTGTGTGTGTATGCGTGTGTGCATGTGTAAACAAAAGAATTAAATGACATTCCTTGCATAAAAATCAATCTGTTTTTATTAACTGTATTTGTTATAAATATCTGATAGTGGTTGTGTAGAGTCTGCTAAATGGTTGTATTGTTAGTAAATTGGATTGTATCCTCACAGATTATATTTTTATGTTTTTAGTAGTTTTTATTTCTTTAGTATGTTTTAATGGTTTTTGTTTTATAATCGTGGTTTTACTTTTATATTGCATTTTGTATTTTAACTTTGTTAGCTGAGTGTCACATCTGTGAGGTGGACAGCTAGATAAATTTAAAAACAAACTAATCAATGTACACTGCTAAAGCATATTGATTTTCAATAAATTGAATGTGGATGAAAATAGCAAATAAAGCAACAACAAAAAAACAATAATAGCACATAAACATTGATTATTGCTCCAATTTAGGTAGCAGCAGTAATTACACCTTAAAGCCCTAGTTCAGGGGTCCCCAACCCCCAGTCTGTGGACCAGTACCAGGCTGCGGCATGCCAGCAACCAATCCGCACAAGCAAACAAAGCCCCATCCACAAGATGCAGGCAGCACACAAAACCATGCACCCTTCGGTCTGTGGAAAAACCTCTCTCCACGGAACCAGTCTCTGATGCCCAAAAGGTTGGGGAACTCTGCCCTAGTTCCATGACCTTTTCAAGACTGTTCCAAAGGGGGGGGGGGTTACCAATGAAAACCTCTAATGCTGAATTGCTCTCTCACCCGACATTTGTGAGGAACCTTTAACTCCCCGGCTTACAGTGATGGTGGAACAGAGATTGGTTCTGTATGGAAGATGCAATCCTCAGGTGTTCTTGGGGCTTTTCTCATTTGCACCAAAAGCTTTACTATAAACCAATGCAGCACCCACAAACCCACTAGTGTTATATAGCTGTTGCAGCTTTTACCTGGCAGTTGCAACTGGCTGCATTTTTTTATAAAGTATCATAAGACTCAGTGCCTAATCTACTGAGACTGTATTACAAATATTGTTAGGTGCTATCGACAGAAGAGAATATTTATTGCTCAGGGTTGAACTGTGGGGCCTTGGTGTTCTTTGAGCTTGGTTGTTTTCTTGCATTAATTACCAAACTAGATAACATTATCAATGCTAGAAGGGAGTGGAGATTGTTCTCATTCTATATAGTAGTAGTTTGGCCTATCAGTATTAGTGGGGGTGGTTGTGGTGGTCCCTTGATTGGGATCAAGGAAGCACCAAGACCACTCCCACCAACATTGACAGAGCAAGCCACTACATAGAGCAGTGGTTCCCAATGTTTTCTATACCCCGCACCCCTAGAACGCTCTGATATATTCTTGCACCCCTTACAAAAGTTCAAAATAACGGCAACCAATTATGCATATAAACTATAATTTTGAAAACCCAAGATGATATTTTGGAATATCATCTTGCACCCTTGGTTGGGAACCCCTGAAATAGAGAGAAATATTCATTCTCTAGCCCCACCATTTTAAAGAAACATTCATTCTCAAATGGCATTTAACACAGCTGTGGTTTGTACATACACTATGGGATATACTTACTTAAGGATGCTTCATATAGTTTCACTTGGTTGTGCCTTCTGAGCAGCTGACTTCTGATGAATTGTGAATATTAAATACATGTGATTCTGAGCCAGAGAACAATTTATGGGGGAAGTAATGCACAAGTTCTTAATATAGCCAAACTGAATTCATAGTATCACCAGATAATTACAAATGATGCTTTTACCAATAGAAGGGATTTTTAAATGTATTTTATTAATGCATTTTTCCCATTCAGTCATGTTCAATTCTCAGAGATTGCCTTGACAAGTCCTTGCAGTTTCTTGGCAAGGTTTTTCAGAAGTGCATTGCCTGCTTCCTAAGTCTAAGAGAAAGTGACTAACTCAAGGTCATCCGGCTGGTTTTGTGCCTAGGTGGGACTAGAATTCATGATCTTCTGGTTTCTTGCCTGATGCCTTGACCTCTACACCACATTTGCTCTCTAATTCATATACAATCATATAAACTTTATCACAACTAAAATTTCTGTTCCATTTATGTCCTGATGGAACTTATATGGATTATTGAATATACATGTTAAGTGTAAATTAAGATCTATATTATGTCCAGAGAGCTGCAAAAGTTAGTGAATAGTAAATAACAATGCTAAAAGTTTTCCTCTCACTTACTTTTTCCCTCTCACACTTATATACAAGATTATAATATCATAAATTTATTTATTCAGTACCATAGGAAGTCCTTTAAATAATGAAGACTCAAAATTTAGATTTTTTTGTTGTACCTTAATTATATGTTAAGGTTCTTTTATTGAATTGAAAAGCGCTATCACTCATTTTCTTTCTTTTTTCCTTTTAGATCTTTCAGCTGCCCAAAGAAAGTTTGCTCGTTCACTGAGGGATTTCAGGTTTGAATGTATTGGTGAGGCTGAAACAGATGATGAAAGATGCATAGGTATGTCAATATAAGAAAATTAATACAAGTCACCTTTGTTTAACAACCAATCACTTAGCAGCCTTTTGAAATGGATCCCCCCAAAGCTATTTATGACTTGGTTGCAGAGTTCCAATAGACACACACACGCACGCACGCACGCACACAGTGGTCACATGACTATGATTTGCAATGTTTTTTGGTTAATTTCTGGTCTTCTTAGCTGATTTCCAGCAAAAAAAACATACATAGAAACATATGGATTTGTTTAACAACCATGGCATTTGCTTAACAACTATGAGGTTTGCTTAATTACCTTGGCATTTGCTTAACAATCACTGCAAAAGAAGTAATAAAATCAAGTCTAGACACTTGGTGCCTTGACTTATGAATGTCATGATTCATAACAGAAAATCCAGGCTTTATTATGGTTGTAACTTGAGTGTCTATATAAATCTAAAATTTTATTTTTTATATTTTATTTGCTACATAGTGTCTGATATTTATTTATATATATGTTTATATTTATTCATGTTACAGATGCATCCCTTCATGAATTCTCTAACTTTCTGAAAAATTTAGAAGAACAAAGAGAAATAATGGTGAGTTCTTTTTTTAAAATGTCACATGCAAAAGTGTGGTTGCATTCTAATTTGGTTTCTATTTAATAAAATATAGCAGTATGTAATGTGTCAGCTCTGTCATCTGCATATTTCTCATTAGTTTTCAAACTCCAAAAGTTTGTTATATATCCATTTGAACCTCTTAAAGAAAATCTTTTAATTTAATCTAATTCCTCTAAATCAGCGGTTCTCAACCTGTGGGTCACGACCCTTTTGGGGGTCGAATGACCCTTTCACAGGGGTCGCCTAAGACCATTGGAAAACATATATTTCCGATGGTCTTAGGAACCGAGACACTGCTCCTCTATCCGTCTCCAGGCAAGGGGAGCGGGAGGCAGAGGAAAGCCTGAGCAGGGAGGGATCTGGCCCAGGGAGGGCAAAGCCGCGTTTGGGCGCTGCTTCTGGAGCTCGCGGATGCTGGCCCAGCTCTGGCATGCTTCAGGTTAGAGGTTGTCTGCTGCGTTGCCACCAGGAGCCTCAGCTGGCTAAAGCACCTTTCAGAGAAAGAGCAAGGCCGCGGTCCAGTGTGGCCCTGCTTTCTGCTGCAGGGCGACCCAGCCAGCAGCGTCCTACTCTCGTCGTTTCAGGGAGGAGGGAGAGGAAGAAGAAGAAAGCATCCGCCCGGCAGGCTGCTACCTTCGCCTCCTCGCGACAGAGAAGTGCTTTGAGGCAGATGGCAGGCTATAAAACTGACGCTCAGCTCAAAGTGGGGATGGGCGGGCCTACGAAGCCACTGCTCCTCCGTGGGCGGACAGATAGCTGGATGGCTAGGAAAGTTCCCCGACTCTTCTGCTGTGGAGGAAGAAAACCAAGCTTCGAGATCTCGCGAGCAGGCACGCAGACGCGACTGAGCTTGCAAGAAGCCCAGCAAGCTTTATGTTGAGGCGGGCGGTTTATAAAAGGAAGGAGCAGTCTCCTCATGCTCCGGAGTGGGGGAGGGGTGATGGTATGTCCGTTCGCTTCCCAGAAGAAGCTGCTCGGGACATCTCCATTGCTAAAAGATAATGCCCTTGCTTTCCTATGATGTCGAAGGTGTCCTATGTTAGGAAAAAACAAAACACAATTCCCATGCAAAAACAGTCCACTCGTGATAATGCAAAACCTAATGAAGAGCGTAGCTGTTTTTATTACTCTTATCGCAACTCTGAGAAGTAAGTTGGTGGCCGTTGCTGCATAGGAGTTAACTGAGCTCCCAGATAACCATCCTCACACAATTGGAAGTTTGCATTAGATCCCCTAAATTCCCAGTGATAGATCACACTAATGATAAATGTGGGAGCTTTGTTCCTACTTATGTGGTGGGCATAAAAGTATAGTAGCTTTTTCCTCTCTTCCCACGGCAGCTGATTCCCCCCCCCCTTGTCCTCTTCTGAGATCCCTGCAGCCCTCCGTAAGACAGCATGTACTTTTTGATTCCTGCTGCTCAATTCCTCCTCCCCTCCCTTGATGGCTTCCTACTTGTGGGATGCAGGGGAAGGGAGCAACATTTCATTACAGGTGGGAGAAGGAAAACTGGTCGAGGCAGTGAAAAGGGAAGAGATCAAGGGGGGGGGGGCTTTGGAGATAAAAGCTGCTTTAGGTGAATGTTTTGGTTTGCAGCATATGTTTCCCTTTCCCCTCCTGCCTGCCTTTTCTCTGTTTCCTAGTGTGCCTCTGGAAAGCCGGGAGGGGTGGGGCAAAATAAATCTGCTCCTAGTGTGGAATCAAGAAGCTCCAAGGGGCCTTTTTTTGCAGTTGCTGCAATAATGCCTCCCCATTCTTCCTGCCCTGGCTGCTGCACCAAAAGCAGTTGATTATTGCTCAGTAGAACCAGTAGTGGGGTGGGAGGAAGGAATGCATTTCCCTTCTGCTGCCTGCCTCAGTGGACAAGACCTCCTTCCAAAAATCTCTCCTAAGATTCTGGCAGGCACAGCTCCAGAACTGAGCTATGCTGACTCAGGAATTCTGGGAGTTGAAGTCCATGAGTCATAAAAGAGCCAAGGTTTCCCTTCTGCCTTCTTCAGAGAGAGAAGCTCTGAAGGTCCTTAGGATCAATTGTCCTGGAAGGAGAGGGGTCCTCTTCCACACCCTCAGTGAATTTCAGCTGGAGGTATTAAAACGGGCAGTGGCTCAGGCTGAAGAGGTAAATTGTGTGGGCCACATCACACACATGGACAACAAATGTCTACAAGTATAGCTCCCCTTGAGTATCACCTCAACTAATCCTTATTTTCTCCCACCCCATAAGCACTCCCTCCCCCATACACAGTCATATTAATTTTTCACAGGTCATACTTAACCTAATGAGGCAACTTCAAGGGCTCATTTAAAAAAGAGAAAAGGTCAGGTCTCCCTTCAGAGCCACAGGTGGAACAGCTGAAGGTGTGATTCGGCACCCATGCTTCAAGACAAAATTTCATTTATTTGTAACTAGAAATAAATATTTCACAATATATAATTACATACTGTTTTTGTGATTAATCACTATGTGCTTTAATTATGTTCAATTTGTAACATTGAAAATACATCCTACGTATCAGATATTTACATTACGATTCATAACAGTAGCAAAATTACAGTTATGAAGTAGCAACGAAAATAATTTCATGGTTGGGGGTCACCACAACATGAGGAACTGTATTAAAGGGTCGCGGCATTAGGAAGGTTGAGAACCACTGCTTTAGACAATAATAAAATCTCCCTCAACAATGTGAATGTTTATTTTCATTTATTAAATCTATTACATAGCTCTCTAGGTGTGAGCAAGGCTTTCTATATTTAACTATAGAGAGGAAAGTTTTTGCTTAATCTTTATGATCATCATCATCATCACCACCCCCCAAACTTAACAATTGTCAGTAAGACAGGCAATAAAGTCCGGATAATGGATGTTGCAGTGGAATAGCAGAATAGAACAGAAGATACAAAATACAAAGACCTACCAGTAGCAGAAGAGTGACTGTGTTAAAAGAAAGCAATGATAGTACCAATAATGCTAGATGCCTTGGCTGCAATCTCAAAACATCTGGAGCACCAATTGAACAGTTTCAGTATTGGTAAAATCACCATCACTCAACTGCAAAAGGCATCTATATTTGGAACAGCTTACATCCTATGGCAATACTTTTAACACCATCTACCTATCCCAGGTTCTTGGGAAGGACTCAATAGGTGAATAAAAATGCCAGTTCAGTCTAAACATCTGGCTGATTGTGTGACCAACCATAATTTATTAAACTTGTATGCCGTCTAGCTTACTAACTTTGGTGCCTGACACGATCAAGCAATAAATTACAATAAATTAATAATACATAAAAGATAGAGATACAAGATGACAACTGCATGAAACAAAGACTTGGATGAAAAGCCAGGTCTTGTGGCTCTTCTAAAGAGTGGAGACCATCTGGATCTTGTAGGAAATGTCATTTCAGAGGTGTGGCTACAAAGAAGTTGTGCTTTATTATAATTAAGTAAGCAAAATATATTCTGTTGCACTTGGATATATACTCTAAAAACATTGTTGTCTAAAAAAAGTTATTAGAACATAGGCATGTATATCCTAGCTGAAGTTATTTGAAGTCCGTTATATTTCCAGGAGAGAAAAATTTACAATTAATAGAATAATTTACATACATGTATACTGTTTTTCTTGTGACAATGATAGTTTATTAATAGAAGTTAATGTGGATTTTTTTAAAACATATTTTCATTTGGAAAACATTGTCAGTGTAATGTTTTCTTCCTATTGTAGAATAATCATAAGTATACTTGTATTTATTTTCTTCTTCTTGAAAGGCCCTAAGTGTAACTGAAACTCTCATCAAGCCTCTGGAAAAATTCAGAAAAGAACAACTTGGAGCAGTAAAGGTTTGTCAACAACTTTTGTATTTATAGCTTATTTTCCATTTTATCTGTTTTGTTTTGCAAATAAAATGGTAAAAATTTAACTTAAGTAGGAATAGATGATTGTTTCTTCAGTACTTTACGTGTGCATTAAGATCCGTTAATATTTAACAAAAGATTTTGTATACTTGTATATAGCAACAACAATAACACTTAGACTTATATACTGCTCCACAGTGCTTTACAACATTCTCTGAGCAGTTTTACAGAGTAAGCATATTGGCTTATCCAACAATCTGGGTCTTCATTTTTCTGACCTCGAAAGAATGCAAGTCAACCTTGAGCTATTAGGCTCAAACTCCTGGCTGTGGGTAGAATTAGCCTGCATTCTAACCACTTCACCACCATAGCTCTGCATTTTTGCTTTTCTATTCAGAACTGTTTACAAACTTGCCAAGACTCTTCCATCTATTAACCAAGGCCTATGAGGTGATTTCAAAAAATGTATAACCTCTGTGTGTGCTGTTGTGTTTTATATTTTATTGAACAAAAACAATGTATACCAAAATTGGATGTAGTAGCTTTGTTATAAATTGTAAATTAAAATTCTTCATTTTTACAAAAACATGTACAGTATCTACAATAATACATTTGTGAGGTTAGAAAGGACAAAAACCAAACAATTTACAAAGTTTATGTATTTCATGTATAAATGATATAATATTTCTTTCATCTTTCCATTTAAAATGTTTTAGGAAGAAAAAAAGAGGTTTGATAAAGAAACAGAAAAGAACTACAGTTTACTGGAGAAACATTTAAATATGTCAGCTAAAAAGAAAGAAGCACAAATATTGGAGGTATCATTTATACTACATTGTCAAACTTCTATCTGTTGTAATCATTTGCAATAATAATTCTTTTGTAGATAAGTTGCTAGCAGCTATTTTTCTATTCTGGGTTGGGAGCAGGGAACGAATAGCTGGAATCTGAGACTTTCTATCAATGATAAATATTATTTGTTTTATACATAATAAACACAATTAATTTGCAGTAAAGTGCCTAATGTAGAAGATGACCAGGCAGAACCCATGCTGGGGTCAAATGGAGTCATTACTTCCCAGAAGAGATCTAAGTCCAGCCTCCTCATGAATTCCATTAACCCTTATCTAGTGCCAATTTGGTTGGACTGTTAACTAGATCAGATTCTTGTGTATAGGTAGCATAAAATAAACTTTTAGTGCTTTGAACTCTACTTCTGTTACTGGTTTCTTGCACCTGACACCTACCAGTGCTTAGATTATATATGTATTTTACAGAATCCAAATGCAAGTACATTAGATTGCTGTTTTTGCTTATGTGTCAGTCATTAAATTTATTGTGTGAATGCAGGTTATACATTTTAATTTTAATAAAATGAAATCTGAGGGCTTACATCTCCTGATAATCGTTTTTTGTTTTTTGTTTTTTTTTTTTGGTGGAAATTGTGCCTCTTTTAATAAACTGTTTCAATGCTTTACAGTTATTTGGTCTAATTTGTTGAGAAAAATAAAAATAGTTTAAGCTTAACTTTCCTGTCTGTTAATTTGTCAATTCCCCCTCCCCCATTTACTCTAATACATTTATTAAAAGAAAGTTATTATATAAACACTTGGAATTAATTCTGAAACGTGAGAATTTTAACCTGAAATCCTTTGACCATAGAGCTTGGTGTGTATAATTACATTTAAGTTAGTGCAGTTAATGATTCTGTGTTAGATTGAGATACAATATATTTCTGTATAGAATCTCTGAATCTTAAAAAAAGCAAAACTATATATATTTTTTATGCAGGCAGATAACCAAATCGAGCAAAACAGAAAACATTTCTATGAACTGTTACTTGTATATGTGTGTAAACTGCAAGAGATACAAGAAAGAAAGAAATTTGAGTTTGTGGAACCTGTAAGTAGAATATTAAAAATGTATCTGAAAGAAAATAAATTTTACAATAGAAAACAAGTAAAAGTTGCTTTAGAAACAAATATAACCATTTCCATTGTGCTGAATACGTCCTTTTGCTATTTTACTGAATTTATACTTAATCACAGTACGTTGTGAATTATGAATTTACAGATTATTATTCCACAGTGGAATTCTGTATTATGCCATAAAGTCCCACTAAACATAGAACCTAATTTATTTAAAACAATGCTAAGAGGAAAGTAAAAAGAAATTACTCCTTTGCCATCTAAGCTAAAAAGAAATCTTACTGTGTTTTAGGTCCTGTCATTTTTTCAGGGTATGTTCACTTTCTACCATCAAGGATATGAACTTGCCAAAGATTTTAACCATTACAAAATGGATCTGCAGATCAATATCCAGAATGTAAGTGACGCCATCCTTTGATTGTAGGATAAGTCCATCTGTAACTCTGACCCTGCCATTGCAGTTTTGTATTTCTGTAATGCATGATAATATTCTACAAAACTATGGAAATGTAATGCCATCTGCAGGCTAATATGCTACATGACTTGTTAAAGCCTTTATGCAGTAACCAAATTAATATTTCTGCACATTTTGTATATAACTTAATAATTGAAAATAAAAATGAATTTATTTTCTCTATTAATGTTTAACAGAGAAAAGTATGTTGCATTATTTTTAAATAAGCTGAAATATATATAAAATATTTTTGTTGAGAGTTCCATATATTGGACATTGTTATCAAATTAATTGGAAATTGTAATATAAACTGAAAAATTAATTTTCTGTAGAGAAGATTGTGGTATTATAAGCAATTATCTATGATGCTTATGTTCATGTTTTAGTATGAAATCAAAACTACAGCGCTTAACAGTCATTGCAAACTCAAATGTTAAGATAACTTTTATATATTATGTTGTATTGTCTTCTATTGTTTTATTTCATTACATTGTATTATATGTTTAAGTTAAGTTAATGTAAATTATTAATTATTTGGATAATAATCCAAATTCAGAAAGAATTAGTAGGGGTAACACTTTCATCAATTGGACAGGCTTTCGTATGTGGGTTAGACACAATGATGTCTTCAAAATGCATATCATCCACTTTGAATGTCTATGGAGGTTCTCATTCCTCCACGTCATGGTTGTCCCAAAAGTGCTTTTCCAAAAGGGAACTGGACTTGTTTTTTTCTTTGAAAGAATTTCACTTCTCATCCAAGAAGCTTCTTCAGTTCATGAACTTCAGTTCAGTTAGCTGGATGACTTTGGTCTAGTCATTGCTTGTCAGCCCTAGGAAAAAGGCAAAGGAAAACCAATTCCAAAAATGTTGTCAAAAAGAAACTTAAATGAACTTCATTAGGCATGAAAGCTTGCTGGGTGATCTTGGGCCAGCCACCTTTTCTCAGCCCAACTCATCTCACAAGGTTGTTAGTGTGGGGAAAATAGGAGGAGGAAGTAATAGTAGTGTTCCCCACATTGAGTTATTTATAAAAATAATAGACGTGGTATATAAATGAAATTTTAAAAATGTAATCTCCAGGAATTAAGACAAAAGATAACACACACAAAGCCAGATAGTTGCCTACCATCTCCAGTTAGTAAGTTTCAGCAACCAGAGTAACACCTTGGAAGAGTTGTAATTGTTCTGACCCAGACAGAACAAATTCCTTTAGTCCAATCCAGGGCAGACAGGCAACTCAATAGAAATCATTGCAAAACAGATAAATATGTTTATTCAGAAAAAATACTTGCTTTTATGTTGTTGCTTCTGGATAACACATCTCTGTTCATTTCCATAGGTAAATTGATAATGAATTTTCCCCTCTTCTTCTGCATAAGCATCACATGTTAGCATAGGAGCTCCAAGCCTTGTGGCTGGGAGGCATGAGGCTGGATGAACAAAGGCATTCCAAACTGGGCATGTAGCCAGTATGTCCTGAGAGGAACTCAGAAACTCCTCCCACTGACCCATGAACATGAGATGACTGACTAGCTAAACTGCATTTCCCATAATCCATCTCTTAAGGAAACAACACTTAAATCAATAAATGCCAGATATTCTAACATACTGAAACATGCTCTCTAGTTAGGGTTACATAGAGCTATATGATCCAGAACAGTAATCTTCCATGTTTCTGTTATCTGGGAAATAGTATTTAATATGTTTGTAGCCATATACAGTTGACAAAGAGATATTAAATACCAGGAGATTGATAGTTTTGATATTTTTTTCTAGAATCACTTGTTTATGGTTTTCTGTTGTAAGTTTTAAAATCTTTTCTTGCAGACAAGAAGTCGTTTTGAGGGAACAAGATCAGAAGTGGAAGACCTCATGAACAAAATCAAGCAAAATCCCAAAAAACACAAAAGAGCAAATCAATTTGCAATGGAGGGTTATCTTTATGTGCAGGAAAAAAGTAAGCTATTTGTTTCATTTCATGGTAAGAATTTGTAAACATGTATTCAGGCTGTTTAGCGGTGTTTTTTATAATGCTAAAAATTTAATGATTTTATATATGGGTAAGGCTTGTTTAATGACTGTTCTGCTTAGTGAATTAAAGTTAAGACATCTGAAAAATTAACTTTATGACTGATTTTTTTATTTATTCCTGTGATTATGTGATTGAAATTTGGGTCCTTTGCAACCAGTGGGTGTTTACAACTGTCGCAGCACCCACAGTCATGTGCTTTCCATTTGCGTACCTCACAATCACCTTCCAATAAGCACAATCAGTGGAGCTGGCAGTAAAATCACAAGTTTCAGTTTATGACCATGTGTGATTTGCTTAACAACTGCAGAAGAAGTGAGATCATAAGTCCATCATGGTCACATGATGTTTTGCTTAACACCCTCATAATTTAGTAATGGTGCTACTAGTTCTAATTGTGGTAGTTAAATGAGAACTACCTGTATAGAATTTTTTTTCTCTTTTCATTTCAATTTCCTACATTTGCTCTATTTTCGATGTTCTTATACAGGTAATCCCCGAATTACGAGCGTTCACTTAATGCTTGTTCAAAGTTACGTAACAAGCACCCCCTAGTGTTTATGAACAAGTCCCAAAATCACAAATATTGCAGCACCATGACAGTTCACCCTTATGAATTACTGAGGCTCTGCAACATTCACCCTATTTCCCCCCCACTCCCCACAATTTCCCCCTCCCTTCCCATAAACAAGATGTACTCATCTTGCAAAATATATCTCCTCTCTGCTGCAGTTTCTTTCCCTTTGAGGGAGAGGAGCATTGGCTTGGAAATGCTTTTTACACCAACAGTGGAAGTTCCTGGGTGCTGTAATTTTGCGTGAGTTTGAACACAAACTCTCTACAAAAGACATCATGGCCCTCAGAAGATTCCATTCGTGGGGGGGGGGATTGTTTGCTTCATTTGCATTCCTCTGGGGCAAAGTGTGGAATTGGAGTCAGCTGGATGCAGGAACCAATACTGTCCATTGCGTGGGTATGCTGCTTGCTCACGTGTGCTGGCCTTAGTTTGAGGGCAGAAATGAAGCCTTCAACTAATCAGGAAGGCATCATGGAGCCAGGCCTCTTGCACCTGCATCCAAGCCACTGCTGGTGGCAGTAGCAGCCACCTGAGTGGCCATAGTCTTCCCTCCCCAGCCAGCCAGCCAGCCACCCCGCCCAACCTACTCATTTTCTGACTGGCTGGCTGGCACAAATCCTGACCACTGTTCTCCTTGTTGTCCTCCCCATTCAAGCGGAGTTTCTTGGCTCCGTCTGAAACAAAGAGAATGGAGACGTAGCAGCAGGATTGCTCTCAAGAAGACCCAGGTGTGCTGCTCACTCATGAGTGCCAGCCTTATTGAGAGCCATCTCACTGCTGCGCCTCTGCTTTTTTCCACTTAGAGCTGAGAAACTGAAGCCGCTGTGGCTGCTTGAGTGGGGAGGATGACAAGGAGAAGAGCAGTCAGGATTTGTGCCAGATGGCATGCCAGGCAATGAGTAGGTTGGGTGGGATGAGGGCTGGCTGGGGAGGTGGCCGGCACCACCAGTGGCTTAGGTTTTGAAGCTCTCCATTGGCCCTGAAACACTTTTTAACCGAACGGAGACCTGACAGAGACTGCAAGCTCCGTATGCCTGGAATGTGGCGCTTGAGAAACGGCGCCTTTTGCTCTGTTTCTCAGTCTGCAATGTCAGCCATGTGGAGCTTGCAGTCTCCGTCAGGTCTCTTAGGAGAAAAGATGTTTCAACGACCATGGGCCATTTGAAAATGAAACAAATGCTTAGTTCCAAACACCCCATATGCACTCAAACTCTTTTTATCCAGACAGAGACCTGACAGAGACTGGGAGCTCCACGTGGCTACTAGTAGGGCGCTTGAGAAATGGAGCGTTTCACTCCATTTCTAAGTGCTCATTTGCATGCAGATGGAATTTCCAGTCTCTCCAAGGTCTCTGTCCTGATGAAAATTGTTCCGGCAGTGGTGGAAAGAAGTTGGGGGACGGGAGCAGGAGATAGTCACTGCAAATACTGCGTGAGTTCAGGCTCCCATTCTCTGGAAAAGAGGATGGGTGCCTGAACTCACACAATAGTACTGGCACCCAGGAGCTTCCATTGACTCTCCTTCAAAGGCAGAAACCGCAGCAGAGAGGAGACTGATCTTTTCAAGGTAAGTGAGTCCGGTGCGGCAGGAAGAAAGGGGGAAGTGAACTCGTTCAAGGTATGAGAGTCACTCCCGTGAATTCTTGAGTTACGAATGGAATGGTCAGGCTCCATTACATTCGTAACCCAAGGACTACCTGTAATAATTTTACATTTTCTATTGCTTTTGCTGTTGTGATTCTATTAACAAGAATGCATATATTGGATTTATTTATTTGTTTTTAAAAAGAACTTTGATTCAAAATGTAACAATCTGAAAAATAGGCTGAATGGAAAAACATCTTTATATATCTAACAATTTGAAGTTTTAATTATTATTGTTTTGTGAAGGACCTGCACCATTTGGTTCCAGTTGGATAAAACATTATTGCATGTATAAGAAGGAGTCAAAGAAGTTTACTATGTTACCATTTGAACACAGAGCAGGAGGAAAAAGTGTGAGTATATTTCATATCAAAAGAACAGTAAAAAAGATAAAGTATATTCTGTATTGCTTCTCTGTGTTTTTGACATTTTCTTTTAAATATAGTTAGATACAATATTGGGAATTACAAATAATAAGTTTGGAGAGATCTGAAATGGAATTTTGGAGAGCTTTAACAAAATACCCATATTTTATCCATAGTAATTCATTAATATCAAATATATTTGAAAGCTTATTTGAATGACTTCTTAGTAAGGCACAGAAATTACATTCCATTGATCAGCTCATATTACATTCGATATATTTATTCAAATATACAGTACTTTTGCACAGTATGTCTTTTTCCAGGAAACCTGTTCATATTACCAGTTTTGAAGTTAAGAAACTCTTTGATAACTGTTTGAATATTCCAGAATCTGCAGCATTTCAGTTTTCTTACAATATTCATCTTCCCCATGTCATTTCCAAATTATCAGTATAGCAATAGCAATAGCACTTAGACTTATATACTGCTTCTAAGCAGTTTACAGAGTCAGCATATTTTTCCCCTCAGTCTGGGTCCTTATTTTATTGACCTCAGAAGGATGGAAGACTGATTCAACCTTGAGCTGACTCGAACTCCTGGCAGTGAGCTGAATTAGTCTGCAATACTGCATTCTAACCGCTGGGCCACCACGACTCATTGTATTGGCTACTGTATTGATAGCAATCAAGGCAGAGTGATTTTTATTGAACTTTTGGTGACAGGATTCTTCCTCTTCTATGCCCAATATCCTAAATCAGTCAATTTAACTTGAGTGTCAGCCAAAATGATGATGAAGAGGAAGATTTTCTGATCCCATCTGTTACTCCGTAAAATATTCTGTTAGTCCTGAGAAATTCATTTGATGATATAGTGAATTCTAGGCATGCATTATATTCAGTTCCAAAAATTCTACAATATTGATGGATGCTTTCATTCTAAAAAAAAATATCAAACAATAACAACAATTAAATTTATGTTATTAATCACATTTTTCCTGGCATTTTAGTAATAGTCTCTGTCATCATATTCATGTAATTAATTTATTTCAGGGTGAATTGGAAGTCTATGTACTTCAGAACTGTACCAAACGGAATACTGATTCTATAGATAGGCGATTTTGTTTTGATATGGAAATATTAGAGAGGTAAGTCGGTCAGGTGTATCTTAATATTACTTTTAACTGAATTTATTTCAAATTATTACCTATATAGTTCATTTGACACAACCATTCTTATAGGATGACCTTATAAGTCAGGGCTTTTCAACCAGTGGTACGGGTACCACCTGTGGTACATTGGCAACTGGCAGGTGGTACGCGACCATCCTAGAAAAGTGGTAGCGGGGGAGGAGAATGAGCTGAACCGGTGGTAGCACTGCACAAGCCTGAGCGAGAGATGGCTGGAGCTGCAGGGCTGTCCGGGCTCAGCGGAAGCGCCAGGATCAGTACCGTTTTCCAACTGATCAGCGCTTCTTCAGAGCTGTCAGGGCTCAGTGGAAGCGCCAGAATCAGCGCCAGGCTCCAGCTGGAGCTCAGCGCTGATCCTGGTGCTTCTGCTGAGCCCAGAAGAAGCGCCGATCAGCTGGAATATTGCAGCATCTCCAGGGTCTTGTGATTTACATTCAGATGCTTGGCAACTGATTCATATTTATGACGGTCACAGTGTCCCAGGGTCATGTGAAGTGACCAAAACCTGTTGCAACCACCCAGCAGATGGGGGGAATAAAAATCAAACACCCCCACCCCACCCCCGCTGCCAATCCTCAACAGAAATGCTCACAACAATGAAAACCTCAGGAGGAAGAGCGCCGCCGGGCGCTGTCTTGCTCAGCTGTGGTTTGAGGGGCACTTTTTTCAGTGCTATTGTAACTTCAAACAATCACTAAGCAAACTGTTGTAAATCGAGGACTACCAGTACTTTATCACTTTTTTCCTTTTTGGGGGGTGGGTCATCAAGTTTTTGACACCTTGCTAGGCGACTGGTGGTATTCGGATGTTGCCATATCCTAAAAGTGGTATAATGGGTAAAAAGGTTGAAAGGCCCTGTTATAAGTAATCTTCTGATCATATAAATGTAGATTTGAAAAGAACCTTCAAATCCATTTAGCAGCTCTGCATAAAGTGCAAGAAATCTAGAAATAAAGCAACTCTAACCACTCACCAGTTTCTAATTGAATATCTGCAGTGAGAAAGGGGCCATAATTTTTGTGGTGATAGCTTCAGTGCACACTATTTTTGTCATACTTCTCCTAGTGGTCAACCAAAATCTATGGTCCTGTAAAACAATATGTTTAATTTTGCCATCTAGAATCAAGCTTTTCCATTTTCACTGTGCAATAGTTCATATAAATGAAATGTATATGATACCTATGAGTCCTTTTTTCTCTGTAATAAATATATCTTGTTCCTTTAGTCCAGACATGTCAAACACAAGGCCCGGGGGCCAGATGCAGCCCACGAAATGGTTTCATGTGGCCCACGAAGCCATCCTGGAAACAGTGAGGGAATGGCCCCTGCTGCCTTGGCCCTGGCCCAGGCCGGCCGAGAGCCAATGTACAATTTTGTGGTTGCCATCTATGCTGAAACACATTCAGTCTTAGCTCCACAAGGCCGTCTAGAAACAGCGAGGAACCAGCCCTTGCTGCATTGGCCCCGCCCCCTGGGTGCATGCTGGGGAAATGTCACCCCTTGTGAGGAATGAAGAAATGGAGCATGCCTTGGCGCTTGCCTCGGTCCCACCCCGTTCTGCCTCAGATCTGTCCCACTCCTGCCCAGGCATCTTTGACGCGAACAATGTAGAGCTGGCCATGCCCACCTAGTAGGCTGCACCCACCCTGGCCATCCCCCCCGAGGGCAACAACAATGCTGATGCGGCCCTCAATGAAATTAAGTTTGACACCCCTGCTTTAGCCCATCTTCATAGGAACGTTTTCCATACTTCTGATAATCTTGCTAAAAACTATATCCTTGAAACCAATATAAAGAGTGGAATTAATGCATACATTTGGTAAACAAAGGAAATTCACAGTCTTTGCATTAGGGTATATAAGTAAACTAAATATTCTAATAAACTAAAAGATACCCAGTCTATTTGGAATTTTGAAATGGGGATATGTACAAAATGGCTGTATCTTCTGGAGACTTTCTTATTTGCAAAGCATCAGACCACTGTCTGCTATCTCCTTTAACCAAATTCTCCTTATTTTTGACATTTTTTTTACTAACTAGATATATTTTCAAAACATTGGGCTGAAAATGCCTATCTTTTTTATTTTTAAAGATACAGTAAAAGGTGAGACAAGGATATTTGTGATTACCAAGAGAGATGCGACATGAGTGCATTGACATTGGCATTCTTAGATGCCACACTAGGGATCCTAATTTTAAACTCTGCATGCTTTTAGTGATTCAGTTAATTTACTGCATATTTTAATTATATCATTATATAATATTCACTATTCCTTTTCAAAATAGAAAGTGCAGGAAAAAAGTAAGAAATACAAAGAAAAATAAATGAAAGTTAAAGAGATTACAGAAAATATAAATAAATTAAATGTAAATGACATCAGTGTCATTGGCTATCCATTTTCATACCTTTCTGTTCTTTCAAATTATACTTTGTATTTTCCTTAATTTGTATTACGTTTCTATATATTTTTAAATTTCAGTAGATGTTATTGTTAAAAATAATGATTATACTGAATTTACCATACTAGTATTGTAGAATAATTACTTTGGCCATTCTTTCAGGAAAAATCCCATAACCATTGATGTCTTGTTAAATTCCATAGATTAGGGAAGTACCCAAAATATATTAATATTTTACTTTATTTTAATATTTAAGTGATATGAACAATTCGTTCATCGACATATTGAAATTAGGTATTATTAAATGCTATGGAATGGGACAGTCTAATTCAGCCTTATAGTTTAAATGTCTCTTCTCTTGCATAACAGAATGATATCACATAAGAATAATGGCACACTGTATTACTTAAATTTAATGATACAAATTGATTTTGTTTTAATGAGCTTCAGTAGCTTCATAGCACTTGGACTTATATACTGCTCCCTAGTGCTTTACAGCTTCTCTAAGCAGTTTACAGAGTCAGCATATGGCCCCCAACAATCTAGGTCCTCATTTTACTGATCTTGGAAGGATGGTAGGCTGAGTCAATCTTGAGCCAGTGAGAATCAAACTCCCAGCAGTGGGCAAAGTCAGACTGCAATACTGAATTCTAACCACTGCGCCACCATGGCTTTTGTGGTTAACTTCAATTAACTTTAGTACGGCCATCCAGAATTTCAGGTTCAATATAATGACTTGTTTCATGTATTATGCTAAACCACTGTTTCTGTGTAAGTGTGTGTCTGTGTATATATGTGTGTATGCGTGTGCATGTTTGGTTTTGGCTTGTGTACTTTTTTATTTTTCACTTAGCACTATGAACTACATTATAGTTTCAAAGATATCTGATAGTTTCAAAGATGGATATGATGCATTTGTAGAGTGTTATGATGAAAAAAATTACTTCACATGAAAATTAGTGCTTAGTGGTGGTTTAAATAACTTTAAATACTGTGTTTTTACAGATCTGGTATGCCTCTGACCCTGCAAGCATTCTCAGAAGAGGACAGGAACCTGTGGTTTGAAGCCTTAGATGGGAAGGAAACTGTAAGAGAATTACGATTTTTACAAATAAATAAACATGGAGAGACTACTAATACAACATGGACTATATTTACTATTAATTATATAGTTTGTGTGCTATAGGTTATGCATTATGTGCTTACATAACAAAATGATAAAACATATCACTGTTAAATACTGATGTGTGCATACTGACATAGAATTTTATGGATCAATTGCATGGAACTTTCTGATTTAAAGGTATATATGTATATATGTGCATGTGCATCTATTTATGTGTTTTTAAATGTACATATGGAAATATATACAAAAAAATATACCTAGGAATAAATGAATATTCCTTCTAAGAGGAAAAACTATAATGTATAAACTGAACATAGACTAAAAGTATAAAAAAATGTTACTGGATTTTTTTAATTAAAAATTTTCCAAACTGTTGCAGCATTATTTTGTTGTTACCGTTTTTGAAGAAAATTATTCTAAAGTAAATTTGTTTATAAATGAAGTTTAACACTGGACAACAAAAGTTTTGCTTCCAGAATACTTTGGGTATATCTGACAGAGTTTTGGCTGCTAATCAGGAAAATAACCTGTAATTTAAACTAACATGTACTATTTTATAGAAATCTGTTTTTACATGGTGGCAATGTACATCCTGCTATGACTATTGCTACTACTATTGGCTATGCTGCACTAAAGAAAGAAACATGAAAACAAAATACGGACTTGTTGTTGAACCACATCCAGTATGCTAAGCATAACTGGCATATCTGTAGATATCTAGAAGTAGCGGGTCTCTGCTTGGAATGCAGCTATATATACCAAATGTTGTTGTTACATATGTGTATGGGACAGCATGCAAGAGAGTTAAATTAAAAAAAAATGGCCAGTCTGAAAGAATTTGGTTCCAGGACAGAAAAACGTGACACACGTTCTGACAAAGATATTTTTTCCACTGCTTCACATACAACTTGGACTGTTGACAAATTTTGTGAAAGCGATTAACAAGGAAAGTGAAGATTTTCGTTATTTGAGACAATAAATGATGCCAAGATTAAGGAAGGCAATTTTGTTTACCCAAGATATGTCAATTTGGGCAATGACATATCTATTTGAAGGTCTGTTAGTGGGGTCGGAGAAAAGCACCTGAAAAACATTCAAGGATGTTGTTGAGAATTTTCTTGGCAGTTACAGAGCACCAAACTATAATCAGCTGATTGACAAACTTTTTACAGCATACAAGATGATGAAGTGCCACATGTCACTGAATATTCATTTTCTGCATTCACACTTGCACTTCTTCCTGAAAGTCAGTGACGAGCATGGTGAAAAGTTTAAACAGGACATTGCCACAATGGAAAAATGATATCAGGGCAACCAGAATCCATCAAAGCTGATGGAAACATTATGAGATTAAATATATCATAGTTAAATTCATATTTTGATATTTCTCAAGATTCCTATGTCATACAGTCATTCTGAAAATGTATTTATTTGCAGTTTGTAGGAGTCTATCATAATCAGCAAAAGTTTTTCAGGAAGCAAAACTTTTGAAAAAAGTATTATTACTAGCTCTAATGATATAAAATTGACAGTCTTAATAAAAAGGCTGTATCTCAAAAATGTTACTGTTTTTATCTACAGTTCTTAAGAAACACTTCATTTTTGGTTTATATAAAAATACTTCAAGTATCAGTGTGTATAGAAATAACAAGCATATTTATATTATATTAATTATCTGTCATTTGTCATAATAAAATTTAACATAATTTAAAAGGTACAAGTAATTGTAATATAGTTGAAGTTCCAGTTTCCTTTTCTGTCTGCTCTTTGCCAAATTATACAGTTTAGACATGCAGTAATTCAAAGATTATTGACAAATCAAGAGCTCCTTTTCACTGTGAAACATTTGTTAAATGAAGAGAATAGCATAAAAATACAAATAATTTTGAAGGAACATCTTTCCTTTGGAAGGAAGCTAGTTAGAATTAAAAAAACAAAACAAAATCCATACTACCCCAGGAAATATGCAAATAAATACAAAAGAAGAAATAGGAGGAGGAGGAAGAGGAGAAGAGATTATATAAGGTTCCTTAATATAGATTTATTGGAAACACGATGAAGTATGAGAATCTGTCAGAAGTCTTAAGAATTTAAAGGAGGGATGACACATCTCTGGTTTGTAAGGCTAATCCAATTTGTCTTGTTTGTCCAATTGACAGGACTTCAACTAAGCACAACCTCTTTTTTTATCTGACAGCATCTACACCTGGCAGTGTATGCATTAGCAAAATTAACCCCCTAAAAGCTGGCATGTAAGGGCAGTCCTAATTGCTGACACTTAAAAGCAACTTCTCCTCTAGTTCCACATAATGTCTTCAGGAGAATTTTGATTTGCCTCTACCTCTAATGTCATTATTTGGATTATGGAAGTGAATTTTGAATTCCAGTCATCTGGCTTGATCCTAATGTAACTTGCATTGGTTATCTATACCATTCAGAAATATGCTTATTTATGCATGCAGAAACAGGTGAAAGTTAGAAATTGTTAGTTACAAAGAAATTAACTGACCAAGTAGTATTTTGATTCAATTCTAAACAATCCATTTTTGTCTTTTAATGGAGTAGGGAGTTCTTCCTTACCCAAATGTCTAAAAGCTTGTATTTTGAGTGCAGTTAGAAGTTTTATCTTTCTTTTTGTTTTGTTTTGTTAGGTGTTTCTTAATTTGAACAAGGCCAATACACAAAAAGAAGGAAGTAAGTACTAGAGTTAAAACAATCTTTATATTAAAATTAAATTTTCAAGAATAATTTCTGAAGGTAACTTTATTCTGGATTTTTTAAAAGTTGTGACCTGTCCAGAATCACTTACATGTCACTTGAGTGGCTAAATAAATTTGTTAAACAAACAAATAAACTTTATTCTATCTTGTGCACAAGTAGTCCTCAACTTACAATTACAATAGAGCCTAAAATTTTTGCTGTTAACCAAGACATTTTGCTCTATTTTATTACCAAATTTGTTAAGTGAATCACAGCAGTTATTAAGTTAGTTACACGATTGTTAAGTGAATCTGGCTTCTTAATTGACTTTGCTTCTCAGAAGGTTGCAGAAGGAGATCACATGATCCTGGGACATTGCAACTCTCCTAAATACGAATCAGTTGCCAAGCATCTGAATTTTGTGACCATGGGGATGTTGCAGTGGTTGTATGTTGGAAAAGTGGTCATAAGTCACTTTTTCAATGCCTTTGTAACTTTAGACATTCACTAAATGAAGTCAAGGACTACCTGTACTGTTCCAGCTAAGAGATTAAAAAAACCATTTGAAATAAAATTGTGTTCCAATTTTATTCAACACTTGCTTCAGCCTGTTCGCTTTCAGTGAGTTGATTCCTCCTCATTTTTATTCAGGATTGAAATCTAAATCTATTTAAATTTCAGTTCATAATTTTGAGGTTCCACTGAATATCACTGGAAATGAACAAGTGATCATTTTATTGTTGTTGTTTAATGTAGCAGAATAAAAGTGTAAAAATAATACCTTTTGGATAAGTGCTCATTAATAAAGAATATTTTGTTTTTATGCATATTTCAACTTTCTTTTCAAAGTAATATTTTTATTTTGTGACATAGCTAGATGCAATATAAACAGAGGGAGAAAACAATTGGAGAGGATTGTTTGTATAATAAACCCAATAGCCATATGTTGGGGTAATATATTTTGTTTTAAAACCCATCTCCTGCTTCGGTGGTAGATTGTTTGAATAGCTATAGCTACAATTATTTGTATAGATGATCTTTTATTTGTAAAGTGGAAAATATTGCTTAAAGATTTGAAATATCTTCATTTTTTTTGTCTTCTTAGGTACACAGCTAGATAAGATTGGATTCTCAATTCTCAGAAAATGCATTAGTGCTATTGAAAGAAGAGGTAAAGACAAGAATTCATGGATTAAATAAATAATCTTTCATCTTGGCTATAATGAATCTTCTAATATTCATGGGGAAAAAGCAGGGTAGAAAAGTGGGAACATTCCAACTTCTACTCAGCTTTACTGTTTCATGAGCATAACCCTTGAGTCCTAATGGTTTTCTTGCTATGGCTACCTATTTAAGGCACCAATTAAATCATGAACAGGGAACTTTTCCATCCCCACATACTGCCCTCCATGACCATCTTTATGTTTTACAGTCTTCCTACATCTTGCACAAATGTATCTTTCTTTCACAATTACTGAGAGGAAGGGAAATTCGATTTCTTTTTTTGTAATAGTCTGGCTCAAAGTCATTGGATTCTTGGGAGGAAGGAAGAAGTCTTATAATAACCTTTTTTCTCCAGCAGTTCTGAGCAAGTATGCTGTCAGAGAAAAAACCCAAAGCCATTAGACTGTTGGGGGTGGGGAAATCTAGCTTCCCCCTTCCTCTTGGCAACATTGTTTGCAGATAATACTTTTTCTCTTTTTAAAAAAGGAAACTTCACAGAGTTACTGACTTCCAGGCATATTTTAGACTGCAATTTTATACAACTGGTGCAGAACACTCATCGTGTTACCATTGCCATTTGTGTATCAAAACAAAGAAGTCATGATGTCTACCTATGAAATGAAAAGATGACTTGGGAAAGAGACAAAATAGTGTTTTGCAGAATTGAACATAGCATTTCAATATATTAATTTTATGAAATTTATAATGTATGATTAGATAAAATCTAATACTGATGCATAATGACTTGTAAAGCTACTCTTGAAAATTGGCTGAATTCTCACTCACATTTCATGTGCTATTGTAACTGTTTGATATATGTGTTCAGAGCTGTATTTATAATTTATTCCTCTATTTAGGAGCTGTTTTTAAGTTTTGGCTTCCTATGTTTGAAAGTTTGTGTAGTAAATTGTTTTTAATGTGAAATATTATCAAGCTTTGTTGTAATACTTAATACCGAAACAAAAGCTTTTTGCATGTAAAAGTAAGATCCCCTTTGGTCTTCTTTTTCTCTGTTGTATGCCTGCCCGCCTGCCTGCCTACCTGCCAACCTACCTACCTACCTACCTACCTATCTATGAAACTTGCAGATAGTCAAATTTTCTTTGAAATATTTGATTCTTTGAAATATTACAATGTCTTTCTATGTATTCACTTAATGACTGCTGAAGATTAATTTTGGATCTTCTAAGCTAATAAGTTGTAAAGCAAGCACAGGTTCTCTTGGATATTTTTTTTTGTCTAGTTCCTTATAGTTGATTCATCTCCAGATATTCTGAAGCAAGTAACTGTGCTAGGCTTTTGTGTGTATGTTAAATCTGTGTTTCCTACTTTACGATAGCAAAAAACATGCTTCTCTATTGGCATGTCATCAGAATTTAGCATCATGGAATGGAGAGATGTGCTCAGGTTGCTTAGCTTCCTCTTAGTTACTCTCTTGGCTGCTGGTTAAAGAAACAAGTACAGATGAAAAAAGAGGCAGAAAGTAGGAAGCCCTGATATAATATATCAGAGGTCCCAACCTTTTGGGCACCAGGGACAGGTTCTGTGGAGAAAGTTTTTTCCACAGACCAGAGAGTGCATGGTTTTGTGTGCTGCCTGCATCCCAAAGATGGGGCTTTGCTTGTTTGTGCGGACCAGTGACTGGCATACCGTGGCCCGGTACCGGTCCATGGACTGGAGGTTGGGGACCCCTGTAATATATGATATATAGTACCATTAAGTTGCTATACATACATACAATACATACATACATACACACACACACACACACAAATTTTAGTAGTTTTACAAAACACATAAAAACGAACACACCAATAAAAAGCAAAAGCAGTAAAGAAAGAAAAAAGCAAACTGCAGGAAGACAAAGAATTAAAAATTTGAAATTTCCAACTTTCTTTGCAGCAAATATGAATACATTTACAAAAGTATCTCTTACTCTATTACAAAATACCCTCACTTTTTTCTATTACCCATTTTTTAAAATTACCAACTGTAAAGCATTTTTTTTTCATATAAAAATCTATAAGGGTTTACTAATCAACCACAAGTGTAGACATTGTTTTTTCTCTTGATGTTGTTCATGTTTCCAGCAAGATTCAAAGTATATTCTAGATAGTTTCTCTGATGATAAATATATATCATCTTATAAAAATTCTTTTAAGGCTAGAACATAATGTCAATCCTTTTAACCACATGTTTTATTATTCTTAAATCTTGAGAAAATTTTTACTATATCTCAATAAACTAATCATTTATGTGTACTTATAATTTCTCATCTATAAAATGGTCCTTCTGTTGAAACCATAAAATTTTTATTAGGCAAAATCTAAATTTATACTTAGTCCGTATTCTAAGAATTGCTTGTTGAACACAAATATTTTTAAAATCTACATTTATCTTAACTTTATCTTACCATAGCTATCTATGCTATCCAAACCTCAAAAAGTGTTTCTAGTTTTCTCAGCCAATAGGAAGTTGCTTTCTTTCTTAGCATCACTTCATCTAATTGAATATGACCTTCATTGAGTAGCACTGGATTTCTAGAGTTTTATTTTATAATTTTTTTTCAGTATCATCTAGAAAATGCTAAGGATTTGATATGGAAAGTTTGCCATGCAAAAGAAAATATTAAAATATTGTCATTATGAGTGACCTATTAGGGGACAAATAAAATGAAATAAATAATACTTGATACTTGTTTAATCACTGTGATTTCTTGAGACATCAGATACATAGTACATTTTTGTGCTTTCTATACCAATTACTCTTTTGTACCTGAGAAATATTTCATTTAATCTTAATTTATCTATATCCTCAGCAATTCTGTTTGAGGTGGATAATACTTATTTTTCTTCCTCTTCTGAGACTTCATAGTTCTACTTCCCAAATATTTGTTTTAAAAGCTTTCATCCATTTTCTGCACTAGTTATAATAATTCATTGCTGGAAAGATAGATGGCAGCAGTAAACTATCATTCCTTGAAGTTCTACAACAAGATTTTCAGTAGTGAGGAATTGAAAGAAACATAAAAATCTTGAAACTGCTTTTGAAAATAGCTCTATAGACTACTGAAAACTGTCATAAGCATTAACAATATTCATTCTACAAAATATATTATTAGAGTTGAGATTTTGTGACTTCCTAGGACTATAGCTTGTATCTTATCAAACACTGACCACTTGATAGGCAAATTGGATAGGCCTAATAACATCTGAATGGCTATAGCTTGCTTTTGCTGCTTTAGGATAAGCTAGCAGTACATTTTAGTTGAATCCTAATCCTCAACTTTGGCAACTTTAAGACTTATGGACTTCAGCTCCCAGAATTCCTCAGTCAGCTTTGCTGGCTGAGTCCACAAGTTGAAGTCTACAAGTCCGCAGTGGCTCTGCAACATTCACCTTGGGTTATTTCCTCCCTCCCCACCCCCGCCACAGGTCTCCCTAGGTACCAGGCCTTTACTCACCCTGCGAACATCAAGATCCTTCACTTTTTTGGCTGCTCCAAGCCTTCGGTTCATTCACAGAGAATGGAGGCCTAAAGTAATGTAAGATCATGCAAGATCAGTGGGGCGAGATTTCACGCTACTGATCTTGCGTGATCTCATGTTAATTTAGGCCTATGTTCTCTGCAACAGAGAACAGAACCAAAGCTTGAGGACGCTTCCACGTGCCTTCAGAGGCTGGATTGGGGCATCAGAAGCCTTTTCCAGGCCGCTGCCGCCCAGATCTAAGGCCGGGGAACACTTCTGCGCTTCCGCGTGACCTGATCCGGGCTCTGGAGACCTTTTCGAGGCTGCTGCTGCCCAGATCTGAGGCCGGGAAATGCTTCCACGGCCCACCGGATGCCCAATTCAGGCTCCAGAGGTTTTTTCCAGGCTGCTGCCACCCGGATCTGATGCTGGGGGATGCTTATGTAGCCCTCTGTCAGCCTGTTTCTGGTGGCAGAGGCCTGGAAAAGGCTTCCAGAGCCCGGATCGGGCCATGGGGGGCCGCGGAAGCATTCCCTGGCCTCAGATCAGGGCAGCAGTGGCCTTGAAAAGACCTCTGACGCCTGGATCAGGTATCCGGTGGGCTGCAGAAGCATTCTCTGGCCTCAAATCCGGGTGGCAGCGGCTTTGAAAAGGCCTCTGGAACCCGGGATTGGGCTGTGGGGCAGCTGTGGAAGCATCCCCTGGTCTCAGATCTGGGCGGACCTGCAGCAGAGAGGCGACGGATCTTTTCCAGGTGAGTCCGGTGCGGCAGGAAGGGAGGGGGAAGCATAAGGTATCTTAGTGGGTCGGGGAGGCCTTGGGGTCTGTACCAGCACTAGGCCCTCCATGGCCTTCCCCACCCTGAGATATCTCATGTTTGCTTAATGAGCCGTGTGTGTTTTAACAAGCAAGGGAGTGATCTCATACCTCAAACGAGATTCACTCTACGAGTGAATGGGCAGGCTCCATTGCACTTGTAACTCAAGGACTACCTGTATTGCAGGTAATTCTGTCAACTGCCAGCAGTTCGAGTCTGATGAGCAAGGGAGTGATCTCATTCGAGATCTGAGATTCACTCTACGAGTTTTCGAGTTATGAGTGGATTGGGCAGGCTCCATTGCACTTGTAACTCAAGGACTACCTGTATTGCAGGTAATTCTGCCAAGTGCCAGCAGTTTGATTTTGACGAGCAAGGGAGTGATCTCTTTCGAGATACGAGATTCACTCTATGAATGAATTGAGTTACGAGTGGAATGGGCAGACTCCATTACACTCATAACTTGAGGACTACCTATATTACTACCAGATTTAATATTCTTATGGCTTGATCCATATTATTATTTTCTTGATTGTGTTTACTGTTAGCAATTCAGGAAATACATATCCTAAAACATGCCGATTTATTATATTTTATAACAGTTTCTTGGAACTTTTAAGACTGTCATATAAAAATGATTAGAAATTATGAGACCTGCTATATCACTAGTATTAGCATTTCCATGTTATAAAACTAAGTATACTAATTGGAAAAGGTGAAAATATAAATATTGCAATTTATATAATTGGTTAAAAAGAAGAGAATGTGGATAATTGCTATGGCCAGGGCTTTTTTTCTCATAGAACGCCCAGAACGGAGTTCCGGCACCTTTTTTGGATAGAACCTTGTAGGGTAGGCAAGGCAAGGCAGGTTGTATGACGTGTGTGAGTTCTGGCACCTTTTTTTTTTTTTTAAGAAAAAAAGCACTAGCTATGGCAATACCAGAGGATAGTAGAATGGAAGACCAAAAGTTGCAGAAGATCACAAAGTATCAATATCTGAAAACTGAAGTTAAAAGATTATAGCATAAACGGGCCATGGTGGTTCCCGTAGTTATTGGCACACTGCCATACCCAAAAATCTTGTGTGCATTAACAAAATTTCTATCTGTCATTTATAAAGGCCACACTGCTAGTATTACACATATATTACATTGATAGATTATGACATCCTAGGCTCTTAGGAGGAACTTAATGTGTAGGAAGGCCAACACCAGCTGAAGAACTGCCAGCTGTGATTTCATGTTACGTACAATAACAACAACTGCAATGCTCTTCATAGGCAATATGTAATTGAAGTTTACAATAGTTAGGTAGCGCCTTATATTTGAGTGTATCTTCTAGGTTAATATTTATTTTTTTAGGTATGTTAAAGAGCTCAAATTGTGTGTAATTTAAATTATGGACTAACCAGGGAGAAAAATATTGAACTTATGTTAACTTCAGTATATTGAATTAAAAGTGTTTTCATTGATGCATGGATATATTTGAACTCTTCAAAGATTTCATTATCACTTTATTTTAGCTCTTACATACAATTATACTTAATCAGATAAAAAACCTACACTGTTTATGGGAAGCTTATACATTCTTCAGTGTATTCAAAGTGGAAGTGAATTCTCAGTTTTTAGTTGTCGATGGATTAATTGTTTCAAAGCTGTTCATCAGCCAGGTTAAATGTTTATAATAAATATGACTTATTTATATATAATAACTTTTATTTATTCTTTTGTGTCTCTAATAGGTATAAATGATCAAGGACTGTATAGACTTGTAGGGGTGAGTTCAAAAGTCCAGAGACTTCTGAATTTGTTGATGGGTATGCTCATTTTTAAAATCTGCTTCTATCATTATATATGCATACTTTTAAATGTTTTTTTCAAGTTTTACTTTTCTGTTTAAATCATGTCAAGATGAGAAAGTAATTTGATTTGGGGAAATTTAATGGATGTTGAAAAGGCATAATTTAATACATAGCCATTATGCCCTTTAATTCACCAAAGTTAAAAAAAATCTGAAAATATAGAAAGATTTAAGATACTTGCAGTTTGTTCAAGATTTCTCCTTAATTATGTGAGGACAAAATTTTGATGAAATGAAACAGTATATTTAGATATTTTTTTAAGTAAAGGAATATTTTTAACATATTGAAATTTGTCTCATTTCAGTGCAAATATATTTAAATGTACATGTCTGTATGTGTTTAATCCTTATTTTGAGCTCTAGTGATTTTCTAGAAAATTATAATTCTCATCCTTCAATAAAATTTTTATTTAATTCTGACACAAATAAGCTATACGTCATCTGAAACTGTTCATCTGTCTTTTATCCAATCCCACCAATACTGCAAAATTTTCAGATTTCTTGTGCACAACTTTTGGCACTACATGCAATCAGATCAGATTACTGGGATTACTTGAGCTTTCTGTGTTTTCCAAGCTTGTCACTTGATAGAATCCCTGGTCTGACTCTCAAGGATTCATTGATATTCAGAGACGCTAGTTTGCAACAGGCTCATCTCCAGGAGCATGTAGCTCCATCTGTGCTGATAACACAGTGTTCTTTGGCAGATAAAACTAGAGGAAACTAGCAAATGAATTCATCTCATTACCCCAGACATTATGTGAATGGCAAAGTACTTTATTTTACCGTATGCGCTACTGTCAAATCCTTGCCACCTGTATGATGCTGTCTCTGCTGAAAATATGACAGATATTATACAGTATACTGTCTTGCTTGCCGTATTAATTTGCAAAATGGTCTGGCTAATTATTAATTAACTCTTTAATTGCTATTGGCAATTAAACTGAATTTAAGAAAGATATATAGACCTTAATATTTCTTATAGCATCAGGAAGAATGAGGAAGTAAAAGGTAAAGTTATTGAGACAAAATGCATGAACCTGTTGAAACCTGGTATTTTCATAAAACCCAACTTAATCTTCTGTTTTCTTGGAGAAAGTTTTATTTTTGGGGAAACGCGATAGTTTAAACTTAAATAGCTGATAGCGGTTCCAGTTTAGTACAGTAGTTAAGGCATTAGGATAGAAAATGGAAGACTATGAATTCAAGTCTCACCTTAGGCACCAAGTCATCTGGGTGACCTTGAGCCAGGCTCTTTCAGGCCTGGGAAGTAGGCAAAGGCAAACCACTTCTGAAAAACATTGCCAAGAAAACTTCAGGGACTGATCCAGACAAGTGCAAGGAATCGACACATACACAAAATCCTTTTACACACATATTATAGAATGTAGTTTATTTCTTTGTATTTTTATATTTTATTACATATTCTTCAAATAGAAGCTTATTTTAGGGTTCTGTTTTATGAAGAATATAAACCACTATCCTATGACCTTTCTGTTGTCTGAGATCCATCTTTCTTGGGTCATTCATTTTTTCAGCTTGTTTTTTATGGAAAACTGCTATTACATCATGTTTCAGCATGTTCTGCCTTACAAAGACGTACCTGGATAGGTATGCAAGCATAGGAAAGATCTCATCTCCTGTCTTAGCTTTCTTAAATTGTGATCCTCAGGCTCATCAAGATTTTCGAGAGGAAAGTAATGTTGTGAGAAAGAAAAAACAAAGTTAAGGATAAAAAATTCATAAAATGGATGTTCATGTTTAAATAATTTATCTACTGAAAAAGAATATTAGTTACAAGAATTAAATGGATCTGATTGTTAGAAAAATTACTGTAATTCTTCATAAGTGTCTCTGTCATTGCATATAAGAGTTTTGAACATGGATTACAACCTTGCCAGGAACTTCTTACCACTGAGGACATTTTTTGTATTTATTACATTTATTTGTTGCCTATTTCACTACTGTGGGAAGCTTACAACAATAAAACAAGAAAAAATAAAACATGTAAAAATAACAATAGTAAAGGAAAAAATCATAAAAGTAAACAATGGAAGTTCTGCAACAAAAGGAATTTCTGTAGCAAAGAAGCTATAAAGAACATCTTGGCTGAAAAGTCCATTCTTTATCAAAATCTTGCATGCCTGAGGTACACCTCATCAAGAACCACCTTGATTGTTTTTGGTGGCTAAGATAGGTATGATTCTCTGCTATTCTAGTTGTTTCATAAGATCTAATACACAGTAAGAATCTGCACCCTGACCTCCAATCACTTAGTTGGCTAGTGTCAAGACCTGACTTTTTAGGTTAGTTGTGAGAGAGCTGTATCAAATGTTAGACATTTTGTGAAGACCAACTATAGTCTTCTTTTATAGTCTAAAGTGGCTTCACCTAAGTGTCTTTTTATCTGTACTTTATTGGGATAGCCACTGAATCTTGGAATTTTTTGCCTACAACAAAGTCATTTTATGATATACAACATATTTTTCTGCTTTTCTGGATTGAGGAAAAAAATCTCTCTCTTGTCTGATGGATAAAAGAGATGTATCAATAATATCAATATATATTAATTTAATTGACAAAATTTATTGTAACCAGTGTATATTATAGTCAGCCAAAACCATAGAGTCCATGAGAAGTCACTCTACCAACTAGTTTGATATCTGCAATTCTATATCTCTTCCAGACAAGGGAGCATTCAGTATTATATATTAAATGTTTGACCTCAAAATGATACTTTATTTGATATCAGTGTTGCTTTTAATTCTGTATTAATGAGTGCTAGTTGTCCCAGAATATAAGTAACCCAGGTAAGCCTGCTAATAACCCATATATAATTCACAGAGACCACAACAGACAACAGGTGTAAATTTGATTTTTCAAATGGTCTTTTCTGTACTGTATACTTTTCTGTACTGTATACTATCTTGTGTACTCCCAGTATCTTGTAGTTTCTACTTCTCTATGCATAGAAGATAAGAAACAGAATCTTGCAGGTGTGTGGCTTATTCTCTTCATTAGCAGAATTTTATGATTTGATTTATTGCTGCTTTCAGCCCTTAATGACGTATGAGTTACACGGAGAATTCATCACTCCTGCTAGTAAATATATGACTTATTAGATTTTATTTCTTTTAAAAGTATCTGAAATCTGAATTATAATTGATCAAATTTACCTGCTTATCTTTATTTTATAGATGCAAAAACAAGTGATGAAGTTGATTTGGAAGGTAATACAGAATGGGAAGTGAAGACAATAACAAGTACACTGAAACAATACTTAAGGTACAATTAAATATGTCATGATTTCTGTAATTTAATTGAAACTATACTAGATGGCAAATGTTATCATGGTTTTTTTTTAAAAAAATGCAAGTGTAAACAATTTTAGGAAGTGTGTAGAATATTATTTCTGGAATTTTTTCCAGTCCTTTAATGAAATGACCTGGGAAAAAGTTTAGAATGGAATGGTTGGCAACATGTCAAGCTGCTGCACAATTGCCCTTTCTGTAGCAATTCATGGGCACATTTTTCTCTATAGCCTCAGTTGATACATTAATGCAACATTCTGCCACCCCCAATTTGATTCTGTCCTGTCCTGGGTTTGGAGAGTGGTACTGTTAATGGATAGACAGACACTCAACCTTCTTTACATACTTCCTTTTCAACATTCCTTTCGACTAGAAAGAAAAAGAAGTAAATTGTAATTTTCAGAGTGCAATCTGTGGAAATAGTTATAATAAACTTTTATGTTTTGAAAAAAGGCATCTTTTAAAGACTACATTGTTTGTAGTATGGTAATGATGCCTTTATATTTTCTGGCTCTGGTGGTAAAAACTTCAAGGTTTTCCTCATGTGCAATATGAGATACAGCCCAGAGAAATATTTCACAGAATGATAATTTTTTTATAGTTACTATAAGAGGCATCCTAAGTAGAAAATTAACCAGTGCAAAATTAAAATGAATACATTGTAGTATGATAAAATATATAGTTTTAGGATGTTTGTATTTAAACAATTGTAAATTTAAAGAGGCATGATCATTTTCCCCCTTAATTATTACAATGTTTTTGTCTTAACAGAAGCCTGCCAGAGCCCTTAATGACGTATGAGTTACACGGAGAATTCATCACTCCTGCTAGTAAATATATGACTTATCAGATTTTATTTCTTTTAAAATAATAATTATTGGAAATCAGGGAAATCCAGTTAGGTAACTTAACATTCAGTCTTTTCCAAAAATCATTTGCAATTTATGTATATTTCTGGTCCTCCTACAAATGCATACAGTATTCAGAATATTAAAACCTTTCTACCTAGTACAACAGCCTCACTGCAAACTATTATACAGTATATATTCAAATTCATATATAAAACTAAGTGTATTTGGCTAAATAGAAGGATTTTGCAATATAATTTACACATATTAGCATTATTTTTATCTTATGAAAATAATATGAAAACTGGATGTAACCTCCCAGAATGTAATGTAGTTGAATTACATAGAAGCTTGAACTTTGTGTTAAGAATCTTTCAAAAAGACTGTCAACATAACCATAATTAACTAAAGAAGAATTATTGTATCATTCAATGTCCCCCCATCAGAAAATCCATATTGTACTGTAGAGAAGAAAACGGCCTAGATATTAATCTGAAATGCCCAATTACTCAATTATTTAAACCTACCTTTTATGAGAGAAGAGAATATTATCAGTTTCACTATGACTGTAACTTTTTAAAGGGGAAGGCTAAAGAGGTTTATGACTTAAAGAAGCTGAGGGACTGCCAGCAACAAGGAAGGAAGCAGAATGTGCAGTGGTTTGAAGGAGAAGGCACAATATTTGAGGATATGAAGAAAGAAAGCTCTGTAAAAAGAAGGATCTGTAAAAGATAGATTTGTAGGACTCTCTTAGTATTTAAACTTGAAGCATGCTAGGAGGAAGAAGGTAAAGCTGGAAAAGAGATAATGATACTAAAGGATATGGGAGATAAATGGTTGGAGTGGATAGTGTGTGTATTTATTTAATTCAAGGTATTTATTCACCATTTTATTTTATTTTACTTTATGGTATGTTATTATTTTATTTTAATACTATCAAGTGACTCTTGTCACCTAATTGTTTACAAATCTGCATAGGTTTAGCAAATCTCATTTTTTTACCATATTTGTGCATCATTTCATTTTCATTATACCCCATCTGGGGCTGTGACATGTCTGTATTATCTCAGTGTAATGCACTTCAACAAATTGTTTCAATATTATAGTCAGGGTGGTTTTCAGGAAACAGAACTGATGCTTGGTTGTATATTAAGGAAAGTCATAAACAAGGCCAAGAAAATAAAAAGCTATCCTCTTATGATAAATGTTCTATAACTAACAACTTTTAATATAGTACTGAAGTTTCCTAGCATTTGGGGACATAAAAAAAGTATCAAAATAGGATTTCACTTTATATTTTTAAAAATGCACAGGTAGCAAGAAAGAAAATTAAAATGTTTATAGATAATTTTCAGCATACATTGTACCAAGTGCATAACTACGAATTATTATTTTTTTCTTTTATGTAGAAAGTGGTAGCCCTGAGTCTCGTGTTAAAGTTATCCACTCCTTGATTCATAAACTTCCAGAAAAGAACAAAGAAATGCTTGATATTGTTGTGAAGCACTTAGCAAAGTAAGTGTCTTGTATCTTAGTTTGATGTTTACATTTTTTCCTTTGCAGTTCCAGAAGGCTGATTATGTTCAGAGTGTATTTTTATATTTCATATAAACAGCAAAAACAAATGTGAAGTTTGCCTTGTTATATACTGTATATCTATTTTAGTAAAATTTAATCTGGATGGATGGATGCATGCCCACCTTTACTGATTAAGCACTGTTAATGCAGAGGGAAATATTAAGAAATAGCTAAAGTAATAAGAGGTCATTACAGAAAGAAAAGAAACATAGCCAAAACCATTGCCATTTATACCAATATTCATTTAATATACCTTTCCATACAACCACCTCAATGTACATCTGTCATGCTGCTCATTTACTTTTGTGTTCAGTCTATGTTTATTCAACATTGGTGACCCTTTCTTGTTTTATCACTTTTATATCTTAACTTGGTTTTCAGTATTTTAATTTTTAGATCTGTACATCTAATTATCTGATTTATTTAATATACACTGCAAATTATTGAAGTACTAGCAAACAACACAATATGGTCTCCATGCAAAAATATACACACATGCAGACAAACACACATACTGATATCTAAAAGAAATACTGTTCTAATGACAACACAAGCATTTCCTTACATAATTATCGCCTAAAAAACTAAGGAAAGCTCACACATCCATGTCTTAATCTCTGCTCATTGTTGAACCATTTGCTAAGCATTTTGTTTATTCTTAGACATGCTTACATTCCATTGAGTGTACTGCTCTTACTGTACTCGGCAGCAGACTTTCAGCTCAATGTTCAAATACAGTATTTCCAGTATTTTCTTTGATACATTCTTTGGGATTATTATTTTTTTGTCTATATACATTATTCAGTATCTTTTTATTTCATTTTATACAGCTTTTATTCTCTTAAACACTTCTGTTTACCTCTTCCATATGGATTCCATATTTTTTGTTCTCATTCTTTTTCATACAGAAATTGTACTTCCTGTGAACATTCTACTTTTGTTCTTTTTTATTTCATTTCTTTCCTTTTCTTCCATCCCATTTTACTCAATATGCCCCATTGACAATATGAAAAAGTGATCTGTATCACATGCATGCTTAATGAATTTTAAAGTACTTTATGATGCAGTATCAGGTATATTTGGCAACATCTTTCCAGAATTGTATCTGCTTATCCAAGTCACTTATCTAGGGAGGGCTGTTGAGAATATCCCTGTCTACTAAAAGCACATGGTGGCTGAACTAAAGGGCAAGTCTTTTCCATGATAGTACACTATCTTTAGCCTAACACTGCATGAAGTCTCTATCCTGATAAATTCAGCAAATAAATACAATCTTTGTGGTTCCATCAAACCTTTTCTTCTGTTTGATGGATCAATTGATGGCACTGTTCATAAGCATTGGTTGGAGGACTGAATTTTGTTGATTTTTTTTAAGCTTTTGTTTTGTCTCTGTACATTGCTCAGACTATTTGGAGATTGAAGCGCACCATAAATAAGCCTCTCTCTTTTTTTCTTTTTGTGAACCTCACATAGAATCATCACCACCATTTCTTTATCATTGGAATTAGTACTGCTGCAGCACTCAAAATCTTAGCAGGTGAATCTCAGACAAAGAAATTCCTCATTTCCACCCAACCTTGTCTTGTTGGTATGCACCAGTTTTTCTCATTGAATCTCATTCAAGCCATGTTATTACAAATAGATCTGGAATCCAGCTCCAAATATCCATAGTGACCAGTATCCAGGGAATAACCAGTGGATTAAAAAAAAAAACCTGGCATCACATTGGTTACTGTACTCTTCTGACCTCAGCAAAACTCTAGTTGGTATAGTAACTGTCCATTGAAAATTGCTCTGCCAATCAGTCCTCCCTCCCTTCTTGAACTTACTGTATAATATTTGCTACACTTCATCCATTTTACTTCACTCACCTATTGTTTCTCTTTTTCTCTTCCTAAGGACTTCTTAATAGGGCCACTCTCACTCCAGAGAGGAAGGAAACAGGATCTTTTCCCAGCCACACCAAAAGCGTTAGAAAAGTCTTTCCATTTATTCAAAAACTTTACCAACAATGAACATGTTTCTCTCTCCATTTTACTTTTTAATTAAGGTTCTTTATTCCAAGCTCTTTATTGTTTGCTACTCTTAAATTCCAAGTCACTGTCTTCCATGTGCCATGGTTGTCTCTTAACATGGACAATAGAAATTGCCCTCCATATCTCATCATGACTCTGGTCAGATATGTAGTTCTTGCATAAAAACAGTAATTGGAAAGGAATGTCTGTTGTGCAGTTATCTGGATATCACATTACCATGCTGCTTAGTCATGGCAATTTTGGCTGCCCCTGGCTAATGTCATTGCAGGTCGTTATGCAAGGACTGCACTTAACTTCCATCTTCCTGCCCTATTGACTTTACTTGGAAGCTGGCAGGGAAGGTCAGAAATCATGATTACGTGACTGCAGAATCACTGTGATGACCAGAACTTCAAGAACTGGTCATGAGTATCACTTGTACAGCACTGTTAACAAGTTTTAAGAGTTGCTAAACTAGTGGTCATTAAGTAAGGATGACCTATATACTCAGCTTAATTGCACCTGTGTTACATACAACATTCCTTGATACATAAAAAGACACTACCTTTTTCTTTTGACACATTTTGACGGTTATTGCACAGTGCAACCAAATTCTAGTTTTAACCCCAAACATACTATGTTATTCCTATTTCCAATCTGGAGGCTAATTTGCAAGCTAGATACTGTTGCCTATAGATATTACATATGATGCTACATGCAATATAGGAATACACAAATCAGGATGTAATCTATTATCTTCATTAACAGTATTGCTTTTAATTGAAGTAAAAATGTTTTCACTTCAAAATGATATAAAATAATTGTTAGTATTTGCTAACAACTTTTTTTGAGAGGAACAAAAGCTTTTTTTTGTTTTTCTGTTAGTATTTTTCTAATAATTGTTTGAAATTTGGGGTACTTCCATTTATTAAATGAGGTTTAATATTTTAAGAAAAGAGAAGAAATTCACAAGCTCATCCTGAATGGTTGCAAAAGTTCAAGGGTTGAAGGAAATGTAATTTTATTTTTTCATCTTAAAGTAGCCATTTTCATAATGCTAATTGTTTGTTTCTTTCTGTTTTTGAAAAGTGTTTCTGATCATGCTAAGAAAAATCTCATGACTGTGGCAAATTTAGGAGTTGTGTTTGGACCGACATTAATGAGGCCACAGGAAGAAACAGTGGCTGGTCTTATGGATCTGAAATTTCAGAACATTGTGGTGGAGATTCTAATTGAAAACCATGAAAAAGTAAGTGTAGGAAGTGGAAAAAAACCTGTTCAAATATTTTATACTTTGTATAAGATTTGAAATTAAATTCCTATGAGATCATTTATGATTTTATCAAATTCCATACTTCCATAACATGGGAAGCAGAATCACCTTAATTTTAATAGGCTTTCAGGATTTGTAAGGAGGAAGTGACATTTTCAGCCTTTGTAAGAATTATGAAATTCACTTTGACCTTTAAATCTTCCCTGTTCATCCCTTGTAAAAAAACATTGTAGGGATTATTTTTAAAATTCCACCCTCTTGGGGGCATAAAAAAGATGCTGATGGTTCTTATTTCTTCATACAGCTAGATTGGCAGAACCCTTACATTCTGTTTTGTAGAAAAATGGAAAATGTGTATGAAGTTTTTGGAAAGGGAAGGAGATGGACCATACTATTTGTGTCTAATAAAGAGGATGGCTTCTTGATTAGGACAACTTCTTTCTGCATTGCTTCTTTGTGGGATGTACATTACTTCTAATTATTTTATTAATAGGTTTATTAATAAAATATCTTGTTAGCAGTTATACTAGCTTAACAGATAGGAACATTTTGAGAAAAGAATGAATTTTGTCCGATTTAAGTTTCTGAAATGCAAGTATGTATAATGATATGCTTACTTGCCTAATGACTACCCTATTCTCTAATCTGCAACCTTTGTTTTTTCTGTTTGACTTTAAAATAGAACATCTTTTTATCAGTCTGTGACTGCCTAGTATCTCTCTCATTTATATCTCTGACCCCCAGTATTAACTCTTCAGCTTATCTGCAGATAGTACCTATTAGAATTTTTCAAATATTTAAAGTTCTCTTTTTTATTTTACTTTTTTTTTCAAGGATATATTTCAGTATTTAGCTGCAGTCTTTAAAAGAAAGTTCTGCATTTGTATGCTTTACTTTTGCTTCTTATATGAGAATTATTGTGTTAGGAGATGCAGTGATTCTTTTTGAACTTTCCATCCCTCTGGTGCTAATAAACGGAAGATTTATCTTGGAATGTTGATGCTACATAAAAATATTAAAATGCATAAACTGAATTAATGTGGTGAATAGAATGGAGAAACTAATTCATTTTGAACCCATCCCATCCTAGGATTTCTATTGAACACTTTGGATCAGCCATTAGCGGGAATAAGTGCATAACTCACCAGCTCACTCACTTCCCTCCTTTCTTTTTAGTTCTTTTACTTCTCTGTGTCCCCCCAGCCACTGCTAATGCTCCTATGTGGAATATCACAACCATTTTGCACATGGTTGAAACACTTGAAACATATTTAGATCTTGGCATGGACCATTCAAAACCAGCTGTTCTGTGCATAGAATATAGAATATATTCCTAATCTGAATGTATATGGTAGGACAGTCTCCCAACTCTACTCTGAATTAATGGATTACAGGTCGTAAATGGGGAAAAAAAGTCTCAATGAAACTAAAGTGGATATAGTTAAGATTTGATGCAGTAGATGCATGGCGATTCAAAATTTGGCAGATGTGAAAATAAAGGGAGTCCTGGAAAAGTTGAAGACCTGTTTTCAAAGTAGTTGTCCTGTTGCAAAGTTGCCTCAGAATGCCAAAGAATAATTAGCTCCTGTGACATTCATTGATTCGTAGTAAATCAAATATTAACTGAAATCTTAATAGATTTATCGGCATAATATGAAAAATTTAGTCACAAATTGATAATCATAAATCACTGATTTGAACAATGGTAAGTATAACATTCATTTGCCCATAAGAGTTGATTAGCATTTCAGCATAGGCTATTAATAAACAAATGCTTTCAAGAGCCTTCTTTGGTCCCTTCATTTCCACATTATTTATTTATAGATTGAATAAATGGGAGAAAACCATTTTTTCATTTGTTTAACATTTGTATTACTTTATAACTTTCATGTTTAAAGTTGCAGTCTCAATTTTTTTATCTCTTTTCTAAAAAAAAAAGATGCACAGAAAAAGAATGAAAACATATGTGTTTGCTTCTATAGCCATATCTTTATACTTCATCAAGGTTCTGAGAAGTACAACTTATATGTAATAATGTCTTTAAATCATTTTATGTTTCTACTATTGCTTCTGCACTTGCCAGAAAGTGTCAGCTTGTTCAGTTGACTCTTCTCTCCCACACACACAGTCCTGCTGCTTTGCAGACTGGCAAAAAGCTTGCTTTCAGTACAATGGAAATTCTACTAGATTCGTTATAGTCAGACTGGCAGACAGATGTCTGTGGAAGCATCACATCAAGGGAGGCTTAAAATGTTTCACTTTTAACAATTTATTTTAATTTCCTACATACACATAATAATAGACAGGTGGCAGTAGAAGCAAATGTATTTTCCACTGGCCTTATTACAGTAAAGAAATTCTCCTTGGCAATCTAAAACAAACTCTTTCCTTCTTTCCTTGTTTCTTTCCTTCTTTTTTATTTCCTTCCTTCCCTCCCTCCCTCCCTTCCTTGTGACATAAAGTTAGTTAATGGTAGTATTTATAATAGAACATTTTTATTATTGTAAATATAATATCTTACATGCATTGTAGTATTAGTCTTTAATCCCGCCTTAAATTCTCCCTATCCCAAACCCCAATATTGAGATTCAAAGTTGTGATTTAATCTAATCAGATTACCTATAATTGTTGTGGCTGCCATGGTACAGGGAGTGGTTTTTCTTGTGGGTTTTTATTATATGATGTAAGCCATCCAGATTCACCTATTTGTGAGTTGGGATGCTATATAAATGTTAAATAATACATACATACATACATACATACATACATACATACATACATACATACATACATACATCTGAGAAAAGTTTATCCACCAGTTATGCTTTCAATCCCAATGCCATATTGTTTTTGGAGAGCCACAGTAATATATTTGTGATTAAGAGTCATAGTATGGGATATCACACTGATGTGCATGCTACAGTTTTTATATATTCAGTAAAGTTTGTCAAACCAACATTTTGTCCTTGTTCTAAGAAGAGTTTATGACTTTATGAAAATGAATACATATGTTGTTAAAATTCCACTGCTGTTTTCTTCATATGTAGGGTTTCTAATATATAAATATTAATAATCAATAATGGTCACTATAAAAAGTGAAGATTAAAAAATGGCTATTGTTTCAAACTGTTAGTTGATGTTGATTTTTCCTGAATTTGTATTTTTTTCTTTCACATATTATGAGTTACTCTGGATTTTGATACTGGTACTTAAAAAAACTTAATATTTAAGCCAAGTAGAATATATGAAAGCATAACTGGGGGTGGGGAAAGGGAAGAAAAGAGAGAGAAAACATGATTAATTATTTCATTTAGTAGAATATTTCTATTTCTGTTGTATGTGGTAATGATTATATATTCCTTTTGTCCAACTCTTTTTGTGAAAAGCACATCAAGCAGATTTTCCATATGCTTTGTATATTGGACAGAGTTCCTTTATAAAATAAAGACCATACTGTAAAGCATGATTTTTATATCTTCATCATGTGGTTTGAATAAAATGTGTTACAGTAAAATGCAGAGTCAAACTTAAAAGCTAAAAGCCTAGTTGTTTTAGAATTGTTCATCTGTTAAACCAATAATCGCTTTTATAAAAGAGCTTTATGTCATCCATATGTTTTAGCAGATTTATTTACATATTCTTAAAATAACTATGTACAAAATAGTGTTCTTTTTTCCACAATTAAGGTAACCTAAGAACAGAAAATTTTGCTCACTAACGCTGAGGAATACTAACCTATTTTCTTAAAATCTTATTTAAAATCGTATGTCAGATCAATAAAAATTATTTATAGACTTCCGGTTTGACGTCGCAGCGTAATGGATGCAGGAAGATAGGGCTCCTTCCATGTTTGATTTCACCCCATTGGAAACCCTAAAAAGGGTCAAAAGTCGCCCCAAAGAGGTGACAGAGAAGGAGGGGACCCTCGTTGATCGTGGAAGGGTGATGGCCCTTCCATTTGATCCGAAGAAGCCCTCCAAACCAGCGAGGGAAAGATGTAGCCAGTCAGAAGCTGCTGACAGCCTTAGAAAATAAATATTAACCAGCAATTTTTGAGCAATGTGGATGGAACTGGGTGATACCCTAACCTTTCTTTATGACTTTAAGATTTTTTTCTGGGAGAAAACTTCCCAAATCAAAGAATCCTCCCCGATGAGAGAGGCAAGGGGAATTTCCACCCCATTCCCTCAGGAAAAGAAAAGCAGCAAATTAATTGCTTGGGAGAAAATAGAGAAAATTACAAGATTAATTTGGAAGCAATACACATATATAACTTTGAAATTTGGGGACTAAAAGTGCTTTTGAGATTTTTTTTTTAAAGAGATTTTAAAAGCTTGTAATATAAGTTTGGATGTAAAAAGCTGGAAGATGACATCAACAACATCAAGTGGCAAACTACAGCACTACAATTTATTATGCCTAAAGCAGGGGTAGGCAACCTTGGCTCTTTTATGACTCATAGACTTCAACTCCCAGAATTCCTGAACCAGCCATGCTGAGAGGAAAAGGAGAGGTTTCCAAGCTGAGCCATTCTGGCTCAGGAATTCTGGGAGTTGAAGTCCACGAGTCATAAAAGAGCCAAGGTTGCCTACCCCTGGCCTAAAGGAAACTTGTCTGGAAGCCCAGACTCAGATAAGACTCTTAATTGTTTTCTAACTTTCACTTTTGAAGACTGCAGCTGGGAAAAGGGGAGGCGAACAAACAAACCTCTTGGGCTGCTTATCTGTATGGCAGAGACAATAAACTATTTTGAAACTGGCCTGCCTGGACTATGAATATAAATACTAACTGACTTTTAGAGCTGTGTCATGGAGCTATTTCTCTATAGAAGAAACATGCATTATTGATGGAGATGATGGAATACTTTGGACTATAAACCTTTGATTGATGAACAATTTTTAATTGCTCTTCTCTCTCTCTGGACAGAAAGGATGTGTTTTTCATTGGACAAAAACATTTGAAAAATTCAAACTTTA